AATGAGATGATAGTAATGAGAAACCTGTTTGAGGATCTCAACGATCTGTCCAACCTCCAGGTTCAGCTCATCATCATTCTGAGCTACGTAGGCAAACAGGGCTCGGGCTTTCTTCTTTTTCTGTGGCACTGATTATCGTTTTCATCATCATCCTCATCATCATCATCATTGGTATAAACTCATCATCATCGTTTGTATATACTCATTATCATCATCTGTATAAATTCATTATCAGTGCTTTTTTGCGCCAGTATGGCCTACCAGCACCTTTTTCAATGTGGGGAAAAAAATTATTACTTTTAATTAAAAACAATGCCACTTTTTGGTGTGATAGCCAAAATAAGTCAGCCCCTGGCGAAAGTTGTCCACATTGAGTACCAGCACCAATTTTTTTTTACAAAAAAGCACAGCTCGTATACATACACACACAAACATACACACACAAACAAGCATACATGCACAAATACCATTCTTGATTACATCGAAAACACATTTAAAAAATAATTCTCACTGGTTTTGAAAAAAAAATCTCCCATGCAAACACATGTGAAAACGCACACATACACGTATGAATGCACACACGTATAAACACGTACACACACACACACACACACACACACATGAATTCACACACACACACACGTACATCTGAAAAGTTCTATTAATTCGACAGTCTTGAGTGGCGAAAGTGAAAACATCGAATTTCGAAATAGAACTTAAAAATAACTGTTGTTACTGTTATTATTATTATTAATTTTATTATTATTTTTATTGTTATAATTATTATTTATTTTATTTATTATTTATTATTTAGATGTACTTTAATATCGCCCATATCACCGGCTAACGTATAGTAGAACAAAATGTTGATTGAGTTGTGTGTGGGTTTTACCGCTTGAAAAAAATTTTGAATAGATAAACAAAAAAAAAATAACAGCATCTATAATAACAGAAAAAAATAATAAAACAAATGAAGAATAATAAAAATTTGATTTTAACTGTTGTTGTTGTTGTTGATGTTGCTGCTGCTGATGTTGTTGTTGATGATGTTGTTGTTGTTGGATGATTTTTTCTTCGCAGTCATTTTTTTGATGATCTCGGCGATCTGTGTGTTCATGGGAAAAATAATTGAATATATCAGAAGACTATAAAACCAACCAACAAACTAACCGACCAACCGACCAACCAACCAATCAACCAACACCTAACCAACCAGCCAGCCAACCGATCATCCAGCCAACAAACCAACCAGACAACAAACAACCAACTATAACAAGAGTTACCTCGGGGTTATTCATCAACTCCTTTCTTAAGGCAACATTAGGACTTCTCTGGTTCAACTCGCACCCGTGTAGTAGCAATAACTTTATCATCATATTCTTACTCTCCACATCTAAAAAATTCAACTCGTAGACGGTCTTCAAGGCGTTGAAACCGTAGCACGGGTTCAGCATGTTCCTTATTTTAGATTTAGATTCGTGCCGGTAGCACTTTTTGACGGAGGCGAGAAAATGTAGGAGGAGGTGGTAGTGCCCCGTCAGGAGGGCATAGTGGAGAGGCGTCCTCTCGTCTTTCGTGTTCTGTTGTAGTTTTGGTTGGTAGTTGTTTGGTTGTTTTGAGATGTGGGTAGTTGTAGGCTGCTGCTGTTATTGTTGTTGTTTGTTGTTGTTGTTTATTGCGTTAAACGATTCTGATAAGACCATTTTTTGCGATAGTTATTTTTTATTAGGATGTCATTAATTAGTTAATTGGTTATTAAACTAATTATATTATTTTAATTAACTAATTATAATATTTTAATTATTCAAAATCGAAATAATTATTTTATCGAAAATAAAAAACAAAGAAATGAAACTACAAAGACAGACGATACATACCTGGGCGCTGATATCGGCGCCTCTCATGATGAGGTGCTCAATTATTGCGGCGAATGTGGCGGGCTTCTCGACAAATTTGTTGATGGCGATATGCAGCGGCGTGCAGCCTAAATGAATGAATGAATGAATGAACGAACGAACGAACGAACGAACAAACGAATGAATGAATGAATGAAGGAATGAATAGATATATAAATAGAAGCGTAAATAAAAAACTGAATGAATGAACGGACAAACAAAAGTTGAAGGAATAAACAAATAAACGAACAAATGATAGATAAATAAATAAATAAATAGAAAAACGTCATCAAAACATGCAACCCAACTACATTAATAACAATAAAATAATAATAATAATAACTCACCATCCGAATCAGAAACATTAACATTTAGGTCAGGTGCCCTCAACAGTTCAATCAACGTCCCAATACCAAGCCCGTCCTTGTTAATCATTCCAATGCAAAATCCAAGGAGAGACGTGTATTTGAACCCGGACACGTTGGAAGAGGAAAGTTTCACTGTGATGTTCGTATCTGCCCCTACGCTTATTAGTAAGCTTGTAACAGCCGGTTTTTTTGAGACTACGGCATAAAATAAGGCACTCTGATGATGACGACGATGATGGTGGTGGTTATAATGATAATGATGATGATGATGACGATGATGGTGGTGGTTATAATGATAATAATGATGATGGTAATGATGATGATGATGGTAATGATGATGATGGTGGTGGTGGTTATAATGATGATGATGATGGTAATGATGATGATGATGATGAACGTGATGGTGAATGTTAAGGTGATGATAGAATGATGATAATAATAATAACGCCTAGAAAGTTGGTATGATCGATCCCCGATAAAATAGATGAAACGAGTGCAAATTATCAATCAAACGATAACAACAATAAAAATAACAACAAACAATAAGAAGAATAACAATTGACAACAATAAAAACAACAATAGAAACAACTTGAACTCTGACCTTATCATAGACGTTCTTGCGGTTGATGAGGTCAGAGAGCTTGCCCTCTCTCAGGTACCTATCAATGAGCGGTTTCACGAATTCGTACTCACATTTAAGAGCTGCCTGCATGAGTGTTCTATGTGGGTGGTCGTGATGATGACGATGATGACGACGATGATGATGATTATGACGATGATGATGATGATGACGACGACGACGACGATGATGATGACGATGATGATATTAATGATGACGGCGGAGATAATGATACAAAAACTTATAGCGACAGCATTTTTAAGTGAATGAGTGAATAACGATTGAATGAGTTAATGAACAAGTGAATGAATAAATGAACGAACGAACAAACGATGAACAGACGAACGCACGAATGAATGAATGAATGAATGAATGAATGAATGAATGAATGTATGAACGAATGAATGGATGAATGAAACTGACGTGTCTCCATCTCCATCACATCTCATGATGTCGTTCAGTGTCATTGATGCCAGTTTTCTATGCCATATTAAATTTTCTTCGGCTTTTATTATTATTATCATCATCATTATTATTATTATCATTATTATTATTATTAATATTATTATTAATAGTAGTAGTAGTACATCGTCGTCATCATCATCATTATCATTACTATTATTAATATTATTATTATTATGAGTAGTAGTAGTAGTAGTAGTAGTAGTAGTAGTAGTAGTAGTTGTTGTTGTTGTTGTTGTTGCAGTATCAATATTATAATAAACAACAACACACGTTTAGACGACATTTTCCCCGATATCGGGGGTTGCCGTTTGGGTACCTATGATGAAACTTCTGTCATCATAAGTAATTTATTTGGCTAATTTTTACGCAGGACGCCCTTTCTTACGCAACCACAGTTATAGGCGGTGGGCCTAGCCTTTGATGATCCAACATCACTCACAAGGCAGTGAGGGTCAGTTTAATGTCATAACCAGGACAATATTATAATAAAGTAAAATGTAATTACGTAATTATTCATAATTTTCATTTAAATATGATTCATTATGAAATTATGAGACTTAACTTACCAGGTATAGGGCTGAGGTACTTGCAGTCGTTCTTCAGGTAGGCGAGATACCTCACGTGTTGGGCATTATCTTCTGAGAAGTTGGTAGGGTAGGAATGATTATGGATTAATTATGGATTATGATTCAATTATTCCATAATTGTTCGGAGTTTTTATTATGATTGTCATTATGATTATTATCGTTTGTCGTCGTCATCATCATCATCATCATCATCATCATCATCGTAGTAGTAGTAGTAGTAGCAGCAGCAGCAGCAGCAGTAGTAGTAGTAGTAGTAGTAGTAGTTTGATTTATATTGTATAAGCAATTATGTTACATTCAACTTGTAGTAGTAGTAGTAGTAGTAGTAGTAGTAGTAGTAGTAGTAGTAGTAGTAGTAGTAGTAGTAGTAGTAGTTTGATTTATATTGTATAAGCAATTACATCCGACTTGTTGAGTAACTGGGTGAATGTTTTACAATAATAATAATAATAATAATAATAATAATAATAATAATAATAATAATAATAATAATAATAAGAGCAATAATAATAATTATTATAATATTAATAATCATAATAATTGTAATATTTATCGGATGCCTAGCATCACCTGCCAGGGTTTAAACTGAACAGCAATTCTCTTAATCATTGCTACACAGCTATTATTAATATTAATATAATTATCATAATTATTATTATTATTGTTCTTGTTGTTTATTTAATTATTGTTATTTTGTTGTTATTATTTTTTGTGTTGAAATCAATTTCCTGTTAGCTTGATGTGCGTGTATGTATGTTATGTATTCATGTATGTGTATCTATTTATTTGTATGCATACATGTATGTATGTTTGTTTGTGTATGTGCGTATGTATGTGCGTGTATGTGCGTGTGTATGTCTGTATATTTGTTTGTGTGTTTGCTTGTTTGCCTGTGTGTCTGTATAGTATGCGTGTGTGTGCGTGCGTGCGTGTGCGTGCTAAAAATATAATAAAACGCTTAGAGGATCAGTGTTAATTGTTACTGCTAACAACTCTTGCAGCCTACGCACAGCTTACAACGGGCCGCTAATAATAATTTCGCGTAAATTTTCAAACCATCAAAAAGGTATAGTCGTGTTTTGAGAAAACGTTAAGCGGTATATAAGTAATCGGCGGTGATGGTGGTGGCGACAACGGCGATGACGTCATTTGCACGAAACATCAATAACTTGAACAACAACAAAAAAAAAACATTACAACAAAAATCGAAATATCAAAGCAAAGCTCACGCAATTAGGAACAAATTCAGCAATTTACACAGCACTACCATCATGCAGAGCACCATCAGCCACGACTGCAACCATACAAACGACCAACTTTTTTCCAAATCATCGAAAAACTTTGTCGTATCCTCGTGAGTAAGGACTGGAAAGTATGGAAAGTTCTCAAATTCCGTACCAACAACATCAGCAACAACTCCATCAACATCGACTCCATTGCAAATTAAATCTATTACGTCATCGTTGGCGGCCATATTGTTGCTGACGTTGATGTTGTTGATGTCATTGTCATCCTTTTCATTACTCCAGGTCAACACTTCGCTAGGTACCTCGTCATCACTGCACTCATTATGCAGCGCCTTCTCCAATTCTTGCATCAATTCAGATTTCACCTTAAGTTTGTGTTATAGGCTTTATAATGTACATACACTTTTATGATGAATGATTGGTCAAACAAGCACAAAAATTTCTTCAATCAATAAATCAATTAATCAATCAATCATTCACTCGAGCTGCCAATCAGTAATCAATAATCAATCAGCAGAACAATCAAATAGCTTTCCATCCACTTAGCAACTTCCAGTGAAAACAAATTAGAAACATAATCGAGCAGTATCCATACATACAGACATAAGTTTGTACAAATGTTCGCGTGCGGTACACTTTGTGACGGTGCATCTCCTTATAACGCATTCCTCAAATACATCAACACAGCGCAGTTGAATGGGCATGAATCATAGCGTCTTAAACACCAGATATCCAGCTGAGATAATGATAATTTCTTTGTATTAAAACCGCCATCTCAGTGAACCACCTCAACTACAAAACAAACCAAACTAACTAAAAATTCTTCGAATTCACTTTTCGGGGATTGGCTTTCGGCATCGTTGCAGCTTCCGGCATATCCGGAAGATGGTGAACGTTCAAATGGCAGAGACTGGCATGAAGTTTTGCTAGCGGCTGCTGTGACTGGGCGCTGAAATTGTGATGGTGGAGAAATTAGTGGTAGCTTTGTTAATGTGTTGTTATTGTTGCTGTTGTTGTTGTTAGTGGTGTTAGGTTTGTTGATGCTAGCGTTTTTGCTGTGGTCGATGTTGTGAGTAAGAACGTTTCTGCCATTGTTATTGTTATCAACACTATTTTTAATATTGTCGTTAATGTAGTAGCCGTTATTGTTGTTGATGTTGTAGTTGCTGTTGATGTAGTTGTTGTTGATGTCACAATTAATGTTAGCACCCAGTGAATCGAAGTAAATGTTACTGTTGTGTGCTGTTACATGCTTGTGTGTTGTTGCAGTATTTGGATCATAAATGTCGCATACGTGTTTGCTTTGATGAAATGTGTTGCTGCTGTTGTTGTTGTTGATGATGTTGTTGTTGATGCAGGTTCCATTGTTGTTGGACGGTGCAATGGTACTGTTTGAATAGAAAACTTGGTCAGATGAATTCATAACATCGAACTGAGATGGACGGCGTTGTATCTCATGTTGTTGCGGCTGCTGATCTTGATGTTGGTAGTAATGTTGTTGTTGTTGTTGCTGTTGACAATGTAAATTTTGTGGCGGTTGACAATAATTTTGTTGCCGTGGTTGTTGCTGCTGTGGCTGTCGTTGTTGCGGTTGCATCAGTTGCTGCACATAGCTCGAAGCTGCATTCAGCTGCTGGTAATAGTTGCTGCCATTTATGTTTTCAATTTTGATACTGCTGCTGTTGGTTAAGCTGTTGATGTTGTTGAGGTTTTCGTTGATGTAATTGTTGTTAGCATCAATGTAGTTGTTGTTGTCGGGACAGAAATCAGTCAACAACTGCTGATCCGTAGGGTTTATTATCACGTAACCTCCTGTGAAGTTGTTTGCCGTTTTGTTGTAATCATTTACGGTAACTGGAGTTTGGTATACGCACGAAGAGTAGTAGTAGTTGTTGTTGTTTTTATGTTGCGTGCTTTGTTGTTGATGATGTTGTTGTTCGTACTGATGCATTGGCTGCTGCCACTGCTGCTGCTGTTGTTGTTGGTAATCTCGCTGCTGAAGTTGTTGCAGACGTTGTTGCTGCTGTTGCGGTCTAATTTCTTGATTTTGAAATTCAACTTTACCATCATCAACTTTGTCGTATGGCTTGTTTGAATTTTTATTACTCTTCTTATTATCCTTACCCCTGGCCAACAAATCGTCACCTTTGACCTCTGACCCGTCGAAACTTTCTTGAGAAAACTCACCCCTGGTACTACTCTCTCGCCTGCATGAAGCTTTTCTTTTCACATTTTGTGTAGCTTTGTTGCTCTGCTGAATGTCAGGTTTCTCAATATAAATTGCTATAACATTATCATTGATCCTCTCCTGGTTTTCCGCATGTTCCTTATCGGTTTCGAACTTCAGATCGCTTGCGCCCGTATCGGTATAATCGTCGTCGAGGTTTAGACGGTTTAACGACTCTTCGATGAGAACGACGTCTGAGATTTTATGGACATGGACGTTTCGAAATCCACGGTCGTCGGAGTATTTTCTATTTTCAACTAACAAACTCATCGTTGATTGTGATTACGCTGTGGTTCTTGGGTTGTTAGTACTGATGATTTTGAATTTATTTTTTGGTAACAGTTTTAAAAAAAATAATTTTTACATTTTTTCTTCGAAAAACGTAATGCCAGTTTAGTCTATTTGTTATTTTCCTACTTCCCTGATTTCATTCAAGCAACATTTTACATGAACTTTCTTCAAATATTTATCGAAAGTTTTCAAAATTTTCACGATAAATTAAAAAAGGACAATCGCGTCCGCACAAAAAAATAGTTTCAGTCATGATCGAACGAAAAATTAAATTTATATATGGAGTAAATAATGAAAAAAAAAACAACTCCACTTAGCAAACGAAATAATAATTTTCCTAACAATCTATTAATAAATAGCAAAAGATCATAAATTGCAATATTCAATGTAACCCAACAATGCACTATTCATCTATTAAAATGTGCAATTATATATTATAATTATATTATAATTATATATATATATATATATATATATATATCCTTTTCTCTCTCTCTCTCCTTTCTCTCATTCTTTCTTTCTCTCTCTCTCTCTATATATATATTTAAACATAATTTATTGAACGTCTATTGAAAATAACATTACCATTTCGGTTGCTATCAATATTAATTTTGTTGTCGTTTGTCTTGTTGTTGGTGATATTATTATTAATATTATTATTATTATTATTATTGTTATTGTTATTGTTATTATTGTTATTATTATTATTATTATTATTATTATTATTATTATTATTATTATTATTATTATATTTATCTGCTCAATTATAGAAGATTAATTGTGGGTAAGACGTAATAGGTTCTGTTTTGTACGAATGACATTTAGTTGTGTAAGGTACATGTGACATTTTTAAAATTGAAAAAATACAACAATAATAATAACTAAAATAATTATAATTAATATTATTTTCATCGTTACTATTGTTATTGTTGTTGTTTTTGTTGTTGTTTTTGTTGTTGTTGCTGTATCTATATAGATAGTATTTCGTCTTAATGGGATAAACTTGATAAAAATAATTAGTGTTTTCGTCTTAATGAGGAAAAAACTCTTAATCAAAATAATTTGTGTTTACAAAAATCAACTTGCCATCAAATACATATATGGAGATATATAGAGACACTGACAGAGACACACAAACATACAGAGAAAGAAAGAGATAAACCATTAAAGAGACTGACAGGCAGAAAGAGAGAGAAAAAGAAAAAGGAAATTGAAGAGATTGCTAAAATCAGAAATAAAATAATGGCAAGAATCGTATGCAATAAAACTCCTTACTTGAAAAACTAAATAAAATAAACATTTGATCGCTTCGAGGCGCTAACATAATCAAGTTTGTCAGTTTGGTTGGAGGAGAACGGTCATAGTAACTTGTCGTTTATTACTCTATGTTATTAACAACTTCATAAGTATTTGTTATTGTTATGTGGAGGTGAGCATGGGAACGGGAATTGCTTGAATTCCATGTTTGGCTCATGCTTATTTTTATTCATCGAATGACTGTGCCTGAAACAATTGAAACTTCTAATTTATTAATTTAATCTAATTTATTTATATATCTATTTATAGGTTTGTTAATTAATGCACTGCACCATTTCGACCAAATGTATAATTTAAATATTAAAGTTTTTTTTATTTATGTTTTATGACTTATTTTTAGAACATTTGAATTTTTAAATTGTTTGGTAATGAAGACGTGTTTGTAAGTTTGCTTTTTCGAAAAAAAAATTTGAAAGTTGGAAAAATGGGAAACAATGGAAGGGAAAACGCGGGAATGAGTTTAAAAATAAGGAATGGGAATTTTCAGAGACGTTGTCGTAAAGGGGAAATCGGGAGTGGATCGGGAATGAGAAAATAATATTGGAGGAATCTGAGATTAACTTTCAATTCTCGCTCACCTCCATTGTTGTGTATAGGCACTGTTTATAAATTTCATTGCATGCATGTGCGTGCATATATCTATTGATGTATCTAAATAGATATATATCTATTCTTTTTAATGTACAATATCTCTCCGGCTACGCATCTCGAAACAATATTTAAGGATGTGTCACACATACAAGTATTCAATTATTTATTTATATATTTCTCTCCCATTCTCTTTCTTTCTCTTTCTTTCTTTCTTTCTCTCTCTCTCTCTCTTTCTTTCTCTCTCTCTCTCCCTCTTTTTCTCTTTTTCTCTCTCTCTCTCTTTCTCTTTCAAAATATTTTGAAGATATGTCAAGAGTTAAGAGAGGTTGATACTTGAAATTGATACTACTGCGAAACTATTACTGCTGCAACTACTACTAATGCTGCTACTACAAAACTACTACCACAACTACTGCTGCTGCTGTTGCTACTACTACTACTACTACTGTTAAATAATAATAATAAATAAAACTATAGCCTAAACAATAATGAAGATAAATGAATTTGTGATTTACATTACAACTGTTATCAAAACGAATCCATCGAAGTTTCGAAATATCATAAATGACAT